GCTATAGCAATGAAAAACCTATAACAAAGCACAAAATAGTTACAAGGTTGGTCCCTAGGCCCGTGCTGAAAGAGTTAATATGACTAATAATTATAGCTCATATAATATCATAAGTTTTATGTTTGGAACAGGTTGCACTTGTCAGGTGATAAGTGGGCTGTGAGACAACTCTTCAGTTAGAGTCATGAACAAAGAAACATTCACTATTACTCTGATGTTATAATATACTTTAGAAATATTTTTAACAATTAAAATAAAATGTAAGCTTCAGTTAGTAGTAAAAATTAGTTAAACTCAAAGTTTTAATAATGTCTTGGATGAATAAACAAACTAGTTGTTTTGTATTAGCTGAATGTGGAAAGAACTTAATAACACAAGCATCTGCAGCAAAACTATTAATGTCTTGCAGGTCGTGAGGTTAAGTCTCTAAGAAGTGCTACAAGCATCCTTTACCATTCTATAAAACCATTACGATAGGTTTTAACATATAGCCATAACACAAGCATCTGCAGCAAAACTATTAATGTCTTGCAGGTCGTGAGGTTAAGTCTCTAAGAAGTGCTACAAGCATCCTTTACCATTCTATAAAACCATTACGATAGGTTTTAACATATAGCCAGTAGTTGAGATAACAGAAAACATCACTTATAAAGCAAATAATATATTCTTAGCACAAGTAACATTTTAGAATATACGGGGAATAGGTTAGAATGTTTTGGCTTGCCCTGCAATTCACCACTGCTTGGAATACTGTGGGGCTAGATAAGGGCTGATCTTGTGTATGTTGCCACTCTCACCACTGTACTATTGTCATGGTAAGAAAACATTATTACCTATAACCCACAAACACTTTTAACATTGTTCTTCATTACAGTGTGACAATGTTAAAAGTGTTTGTGGGTTATAGGTAATAATGTTTTCTTACCATGACAATAGTATAGTGGTGTTCGTGGTAACACACACACCCATATATATATTATGCTAAAAAGATTCCAGTGTTGAGCAAACACCAAAATCTAAACATTTTATTTCATCAATATTCATCCATAAAAAAATATCTTTATGTACTGACACAGCAACTTAAACAATCTATAAATACCAACAGGAACTGCACATCTTTTATTATTTAGATTTATGGTAACTACAAAATAATACCAAATACTCTACCATTGTTCTCAGTACAATATTAAAATAATTCGTATAATCATTTTATTTAGTATTGGCAACTGATAATTCTAAACACACACACACACACATATATATATATATATTATCACACTGTAATGAAGTTGAAAACTTCATGCTCATGGAATGATTACATATTATTAAATAAATGTACTGTTAATGATTAAACTTTTTGACCCATACTGTTGATTCATCATCAGGTAAGAATTACTGAATATTACTGTTACCTGATGATGACAACTTCATACTATAAGCCAAAAACAGGTAACTTGCCTACTGTAATATTGAATTAATTATTCAGTTCAGTAGGCTCCTCATTAAACATTATTTTTTACAGCTAACAGTACACTTAAGATATTAAATAACTTGGCTGTTGAGTATAAAACGTTTAAGATCGGATGGAGTTGTGATTGAACTACAAGTTTCTTATTATATAAAGTCGTGGAAGTAAAGCCTCGGGATATTACAATTGCTATTTGAAAATCTGTAGGTGTGGGTTATCAGAAGTGTTCCCAGTGGTTGTTTCATGTTTATTCTGTGTGATAGAACTTACAACAGCGAAGTTCAATGTATATTCATGTTAAGTAGGTTATATGTCATTGTAATCACAAACAATTTGGGAATTATGGTTGATATAAGTTAAAACAAACTTCTCATGGTGTGTATTGAAAGGGAACATACAGATAATTTCTGTACGAGTCTGTGGTTTCTACTTTTCTACAAGGGAATGAATAACTGTACTGCACTTTAAAGCTTTTATTTGAAAACTTGAACATTATTACACATTCTTGTCATTTGATTTGTTTAGATATATTGAACAGTTAAAAAAATATCCCAAGGCTTTACTAATGAAGTTTCAAACAAGACTTTGAATATCCCGAGGCTTTACTAATGAAGTTTCAAACAAGACTCTGAATATCCTGGGGCTTCACTTCCAACAATCCCTGACAGAGCTCTGCTACCACACACACATACTAAGGTAACAAAATATGAATATCTTACATGGTGCTTAACGTTTAATAAGAACAGTTTGATACTTCAGCTGTCTGAAGTAATTGTGATTTGGCTTAAGAATATGTTCAGATGCTTACAGCATCGACACAGAAATAAATTACCCAGCAAAACTAGTAACAATTTTGTACAGTAAAATTAAACCAAACACCGTACAAACCTAAACAATTCAACATTAATCAATTACTTGAAAGAAAGAATTGAAAACAGACATGCCATAGGTTTTGGAAAAATCACTTTTTGACCAATTAACAAAATGTGTAGCAAGTTCAGTAGAGGGAAAGACAAAGTTGATAGAATTTTAAAGCAAGAAATTAATGGCATCTCATGTTCACGTGGGAGATTATAAAATGGACAGAATGATCCTTATAACACCAAGGAACATAGGAAAGAAACAAAAACCAGCAATAGCTAATAATATAAGTACAGATTCCAAACTACTTGCTGAAATGAAATACTCTGAAGAATAAAAATATTGTTACCAACACCACAATTACTGTGGCTCTTTTTATAGCAGTGAAACCAAACCAACCCTAAGTTAATAAAGTGGACATAGATCATTTACCCTTACATGAGAGTGAAACATACCGAGAAAGGAGGCTGAGTTTGAAGTTCACTGAGGACGACCGGGTGACCCTAGTTGAAACATGTAGAGATGATGTAAATTACATCTGATCAGGTTGTTAACCACAAAATGGAAATATTTTACAGTGAAAAAACATGAGGAAGTAACAAAAGTATCTGTAAACAACTTGAAACTTGTTAACACTGTCATCAAGAATGTTACTCCCTTTCAATGAAAGACATCAAACCACGATTTCACTTTCTTTCATGTAAGAAATATAAAACTGTGTAATGTAGAATAAACACCTTGATCGATAGAAAATCTAAACATTAAGTTATCCTTAGTACTTGGAATTTATTAAACAATATTCCTTCAGCACACTGTACATATAATCTAGTTTATACTGACGGTTCTTTCTGTCACTATGTTAACCACCTTTCTCTTGTACAAAATATAACAACAAATTAATTTCTCATATTAGACACAGTTTGAAAAGTAATGTTTATAATTTAATTCTCCCTCTAAAACAACAGTAGAAAGCTAAAAAAACCTAATGTAATGAAAAAGTATTAATCTGTGTATTTTCAATGATTGATGTCAAATATACATATGTATATGGAATTTATCTTGTTCAAACTTACCATGATATTTTATGAACCAGGTACTTTTAATTCAATCATAAATACACTGTAGATTTAGCCTAAATATTATCTGCACACAGTTTAGGATTTTTTATGAACTTCATCCACTATTGATTTCTGCTGGACTATCTCAAGTTTCTCACAGACAGACTTTAGATGATCCTGAAGATTTTCTATAGCTTCCTAAACAAAAAATAATAAATTTGATGCCCATCTTTCAAAAAAATCCAAGTCAATTTTTTAAATTTCAATATTTGTATACATAGAAAAACAAAATGATGCAATCATAACCTTTGTGTTATGTAACAAGAATATACTCAAGTCTTCTAATTCTTATTACACATTGCCATGTCTAATCTGAGACAACAAGCATAGTATTCAGAAATAGGCTTCTTTTTTACGCACCATATGGTCAAATTATAACTTCTTGTAAACTCTGAAGAAGAGCATTTTTTCATTATCACAGTGGAAAAATTCTAAACTTTCATGTTTTCTCAAAGCAAATATTTTAATCCACAACAAATGACAACCCAGTAAAAGATTATAATGTTTGTTCTGTGGAGTCTTAACAATATGTTGGCCAAATGATGAAAAGACTGTAACCTCTTTTGTAATGAAAAAAATACACAGTAATAAAAAGTCAGATTTACCTTTTGTTTCTTTTCTGTTTCATGGATCTCTTTTACTAAAGTTGAAAATTCTTTTTTGATTTCCTGAATGTTGTGTATCATCTTGACAGGGTTAGGCTACAAGACAGAACAAAATAAACTCTGAAAATAATATTTTCAACTTAAAACACCATTTCATGATGATAGAGGTTTTGCTGTCTTTCAAGTTGTATGAATGATACAGATCTATGGTAAAAATACTAATACATTCAATGGCTATTTGTATGTGTTGTTTTTATTAAGTGTTTGTTTTAGAATAAAGCCACATTGGGCTACCTGCTATGTCCACAGTGGGGAATAAAAACCCAGATTTTAGAGTTGTAAGTTTGTAACCTTCCCACTGTCTCAACAGGGGGCATTATTAATAGACTGATCAAAGGATAACTATACAGATAAGAACTGAAAAGTAACTTTAAAATTAATGAACTCAATTCTATATAAAAACTGACAAAATCTCATAAATCAATACACAACAGTGGGAGCACACCAGTATACAATATATAATTCTCTCAAACAATGGCAAGTGGCAACTGAAAATTAGTTTTCAACCCTGACATCAAAGATGAATGATTCCCTGAATTTACTGTTTAGACAGAGAAAGTAATATTTGAGTCTGTATAAAGGAATAAAATAAATCGTACAGAAAAATGTATATTTGTGGAAGACTTGACTTTTCAAAAAGATGAAAATATCATTCTTCTAACTGTACATAAACAATACATAACCTGATACACTAATGATGAAAGTGCCAGTTCTAGGAACAAGCCTCTGACTACTGGTGTTTAATATTCAAGTCCTTTCAAGTTACTGTTTTAAGCATTTATATCTCTTCAGAAATCAAATAATAGCATCATATTCACATCTTTTAAACCAAGAATCCTTCTACTAGCATTCTTCTCCACTAACTCAAAGGCAGTATGCTTATTTTCATAAAACAATACATTAACACAGTAGTTTAAGATATATAAAATGAATTAATGCATCTTTGCTCTTCAATTCCTCTGTAAATGAACCTCTGTATCTTCTCTATCACCCACAGTCAAAACAACAAAAACGAATAGACTAATGTAATTCTTTAATGCTCTGCGGCAATTTAAATTTTTTACAGGATTTGAGCCCAAGATCTCTTACTCGCCAAGAGCATGCACTGCCAACGTAGCTAAAGAGTTAACCAACTGAAATTGCTGGCAAGGAACTTTGTAATAACTCAAAACTACCACACACTCCCATCCTGTCCAAAATATAGAGAATTCAAGATTTTCATTTCAATGCTCAGGTTCTTATCACAAAACCAGAAAGTTAACTGAAACTCACCAATGTCTCTGAGAATTTTTAAATTTTACCACAATCACTTGAAAATTCAAATTATCAAGAATAGAAGATAAATGTAAGCATTAAGTATATATAATATAAACTACCTAGAATTAGGCATACACCACTTTAAGGTTGGTTGTTTCTCTACATGTACCCTATTCACAAAAATAATGAAAGTGGTAAGGATGTATATATTGAAGAACACTGGCATTTTATAAGAATATTTCCTTCATCACTAATAGTGTCACTACATACTACTGTTCAACTTTCAACACACATAAGGGATGTTTGTTTCTAATGCCATCTTTAAGCAGATCAAAAGCAACAAGTCTATTGGAGCTGTATCGGGAAACTTAAGTGTGTGTGTGTATTTAAATAGGATTACTGTAATTCCAGTTTTGTCAGATGCCCTCTCAGGAAAACAGCCAATTATTTCAAGTTATGACTTGTGACCTTTTAGCTCGTGAGTATTTGTCAACTTCAAATCCTTGTTTATTATATTGATAATGGTACCAGGAGATATACTCAGCTTCACTGCAATATTTTTTGGGGTCAGATGGTGTATTTCCTTTTGTAATTATAGCCTTCACAGTGTGGATTAGAGTGTTGAACTAAATGGCTTGGTGTGTGGTTTTGAAGTCCATTACTGTCCTCATTTCTCTCCTGTGCAAGTTTTTTCACTTTAGCGGAGAACACTAAAGGCTCGTTTCTTTGAAATGTTACGTTCTTTGGCTCTACGCCATTTAGTAATCTTGTTGGAGGAATAGCCTTTCTCAAAAATTAAAAAAAGAGTTGTGTCAAATTTCTTCAACCAGAAGTTCATCCTAGTAGAATTATTCAATCAATTACATCCTATATTTAATGTGTCGTCGCCCGTGGTGCCACATCTCACACATATGGTAACATGCCACTGCACTACCATGTGCAAGTTATTCTTATAAAGTGTGAGTAAACAATTGTATTCATGAAAATCTATATCAATAATTGTGACAAAAAACGTTTTCCTACTATTTGTCTACTTTGCTGTCTTTTATTAACCTATGTCAGAAGAAATGTCAAATTAGACAAAATGGTGCTAATAAATGAGTTAGTAACAAAACTTTCTAAAAACATTTATATTCCATAAGTAAATGTGTTAGTTTATTGAAACAAATAAACTTACCTCCCTATTATCTGTAATCTGTGCAAGTTCGTTCTCCAATTTACATTCAATAAAGTTCAAGTCTGACTCAGCTTTGTTGAACTATGCATAAGAGAAGTAAATTATAAACTGTCAACCATAAATCAATATATATATACAATAAAAACTGTAAATCACAAATCAATATATAATAAAAGGAAAAGTATGTTATACACTGTTGACCACAGATAAATATATATAATAAAAGAAAAAGTATGTTATAAACTGTAAACCATAAACCAATATATATATATATATATATACAATAAAACTAGTAATACACAAATACAGTATATATATACAATAAAAACTAGTACAACCAAAAATACAATATATACAATAAAAGGAAAAGTACATTATAAACTGTCAACCATAAATCAATATATACAATAAAAGTTAAAGTACATTATAAACTGTCAACCATAAATCAATATATACAATAAAAGTTAAAGTACATTATAAACTGTCAACCATAAATCCATATATACAATAAAAGTTAAAGTACATTATAAACTGTCAACCATAAATCAATATATACAATAAAAGGAAAAGTACATTATAAACTGTCAACCGTAAATCAATATATACAATAAAAGTTAAAGTACACAATACACTAGTAGAGAGAAATATATTATGGACAACTGAACAATACTGCATAATAAATGCACTTTAAAACTTTTTAAGAGTTTAAATTATAAAACCATTTTTGCTGAAGTATACATGTAGCATAATTTTCAACTAAACTTAATAAACTGATATCAACGTGTTTGGGGCAAAATACCTGAATCATTTTTTTTAGAATAATGAGAGCAAACAAAATTAACAAATGGACTGTCAGCTTTTGGTATAGTTACTCCCGAGTTTCAAACTCTAACAAAACAAGCTGAAATATCAAGACTTTACTTCTCAAGAGGTTTTTACTTGAAAATGATATACCCTTTTACTACATTTATTGGCTGCAGTCCAGTAAATATAAAGTAGTTAGACAATATATGAACCTTTTCATTAGCCCCATTCTTCAATACTTCATGTTTACCTACAAATATTTTGATCCACTTTTGTTTTCATTATAACAAAAATATCAGATTCACACTACACTTTAGTAAAAAGAGTAAGACTTACAACCTAATCTTATGTGTACAATAATATTAATAACTTAATATTCAAAATACAGAGATCTAGCTGCAGCCAGTCTTAAGCTAAATTTCACTTTTCACTATTATTACTAAATACCCTTGAGAATTTAATTTTAGATAATTTAAGTATAAAATTTCCAGATGTCCCAGTTTTATTTCTTCTGTCCCAATCAGAAACATTAATAGCATTAAATTCTCCCAGTTTCTCCGTACGTTAAATTGAATATGATATGCACGTTTTGTCATTATAAGTTTCCTTTAAATTTTACTTGGATAATCACCCAATGTATCCAGATCACATATTACAGTATTCCCTCCTTTCTGCTACATTTTATTAACCTACACTGTCACTGGGCAGCTGCAGGAATTGAAATTTTAAAAACTACCTAACCATGAAAGAGAAAATGAAGCACCAGTTTTCTTTTGAGTAGGTTCATCATTCAAGATAACTTAGGTGTATTATTTATTCTTTGTTATTTTTAAATACGTAAGCTTTTAACAAATTTTGTTTGTCTGTGGTTTTCTAATGTGATGTAATAAACATAAGTTTATTTAGTAAATGTTAAACAGTGTTACTGTAACAGTTTCAGAGCTATTACATTGTCACTCACAATGGGGGTAGGAAGGAGTCCCAATTTTTCACTCTGGAAAAATGATAACCCTAGTTATGCATAATGTTAAAACTTTGGATCTAGAATCAGCCTTATCCCGACTAATAAAAAATAAAGGTAATTGTACAATTTGGCTTCGAAATGCAACTTCTAAACTAGCATGTAGTTAGGCCTGCCAATACTAGTAGTTTTAGTGGTATTTTAGAAGTTAGGGTCCATTGTTTAATACAATGGTAATTGTAATACTAAGGTAATAATTCTCTATTATTAATAATAATAATGTTATAATTATTAACACTAACAGTAATAATAATAACACTGACTTCTAGTTCTAAGTGTAATAATAATAAAGTGATATTACTTAAAACATAGTAATCAGTCTTTATTACGTAATGAAATTTATTTCATATACGTTATAACGAGAATGCGAGTTTAAACTATTTAAAGATGTAAACTAATTATTTAACAATGAGTTATCGTAGTTTCTTTAAATTCTTACTAATGCTTCCAACTTCTCCACTGTAGCTTCCATGTTTTTCGTAGTCGTTTACGGTAAGCATGTACTAAACACCAAAAAGGATGAGAATTTACTTCTTAAACTAAATATAAAACTTATTTTATTGTATTGATATTATATTTTTTTCTAATAAAGTGATGAGTATAAGCCTTCAAACTTGCCGCTGAGCTCGAGCCAACATAAAGAGGGCGTTACGAAAATGAACTTGTGTATATATATATATATATATTCCTTTTCGGAGGGAAACTTTACTTCCCTCTCTACATTTTAAACAGGGTGTGTTGAAGTCAACACATTCTGGTTCTAACTTTGCTTCTTGTCCACGTTTTTGGTGTTTTGAACGCACGCACAGAAAAGAACCCAACTCTTATGATCTATGACGAACATCATTGATATTTTTATAACTGTTTATAACAAAAATCAACTGTAAGTTATAAAGACATACTATATTGGTGTAATCAAATTAATTATACAATATAATTTCAAGTGTTTTTAAATATAAATGTTATGTTAAACACCTTTACTAATACAATATAAATAAGTTGGAGGTATGCGTGTGCTGAATTATTGTAATAATTGCAATAGTTTTTATGAATTATCTTATGAATCACGATTCTTACACATTTTACAACTCTGATGTACTGAAATATCATCGTCCATTTATTCTGCATCCAGTATCTTTCGAAACCACACCGCTTATTTCATTATCACATTTTTTTATCACCTAGTTACAAGACCTAAATGTATTTCAAGGAAAATAAGGTTCGTTCCGCTTGATACATTGTGTTATTGTAGGAATACTATACGTTTTCTACATTTTATTTTGATGTAAATTTTTAAAATTGTTCGTTTATTCTGAGTCTATGCAGTTTTTGCATAGTACATGGTCCAGAAAACCACTGACTTCAGTCTATCTGTCTTTGTTGTTCACTACAGATAACGCCTGTTTTACTCACAACAGATATTGCTGTAAAGCTGCATATTTTGTAGTCAACAGCAGTGTCCTTCATAGGTGGGACACATGGTATCTCGAGGTCACAACTCCCCTTGTGTTGAATGAAAATGACCATCAAGTAAAAAGTGCTAGTCGCATCGGTAAATCCGACGTTTTCCGTTTTATTAAGTAAGAAACATTAGATTTAAACACTATACTACAAAAGTGACGGGAAATCCTCTAGAGAAAAAAGCCAGTTTGTAAATTCTCCAGTTCAATGAGAAATAATTGTTTAATGTCCAGAAAGTAAGTACGCACACTGTGTTTTGTATGGAGGATAAATAAAGATTGTTTCCATTTTGTATTACACATTGTGTCCAGTATGTTCATTTCTTTGCTTGAACTCAATCCATTTAGTTAAATTTACCATTTTTCGTACTTCATCTTACCGTCATCTAGACCTGTCTAATACTCTATGCAGAAATAAGGTGAATCTGAGAACATATGCCACCTTTATTTATTTCCTTACTTTTAACAACTGAAGATGAGTTGATTAAGTCAAAAATAACATTATTAGGGATACTAGTAACAAAACCTAATACATCAACAAGAAGTCATGGCTAAATTTAATAACCAACATGAGCCGGGCGTGGCCTAATAGTTAATGTGTGTGTCAGGCTTTCAGAATATTATAAAAGTGAAAGTCAATCCTGTTATGTTATTCAAAGATGTGAATAAAGTCATTGTGGGAATTTGTACCATTAACTGACTGCCTTTCTCTCTGATCAGTAATTCAAAATTAGGAACAATCATCCCTACATCCTAAGAGTCTTAATTTCACACTTGACCGTTTAGCCCAAGTGCACATAAGATGCTGTTCAGTCTGAAAGTTCCAATGTCAATATTCAGCACGGACCGTCGATGTGTACAATTTGACTCTGATAAAATTGTAAAGCGACGAGTTAGGCAACTCTAACATTAAGAGTTACACACATAAAGATAAGTTCAAATAATAATAAAAAAAAGTCAGTGTGTGATATGTTTGCAAAAATGAACATCAAATAATGGAAGGTAATACTAATACTCTAAGATATGAAGACTAACTAATTTTTAGACTAAGTGAATATTAAATAAAATATAGTATTATTATTAAATGCTAAGATGTACTCTAAGATGTGAAACTGTTGCACTAATAATGAGATTAAATTGATATTTAAATTAGTTATAAACAACACTAGATTTTTTTTTTGGGGGGGGGAGAGAAAAAAGGTACTGAATCCCTGTTGACGGTTGGAAATTTTGTTTTGGGGAATAACAGTTCTAATGTATTGATGCTACTATTTGGGATGTGACTGGGAGTAATATGTTGTTGAATATATTACTCAAATATCAATTCATTGTGTCATTGAAACAGCCTTAAATTTAATTATATTATTTTCACGTTTAGACAAAAGCACACACAATTTAAAACAGGTTTTTGATCTCTGATCCAGCAGAAATGAGGCACCGGATATACAAGGGCTGTTATTAAAACTTGACATAGTTTTTCACTTACACTGAACCTCGACTTCTCTATTATTTTCATGAATTACCTTGTGCCTTTTCGTTTTAAAAACGTTTAACTAAGGTATGTATGTGTGTTAAATACAGACATTTAACAATAAATTAACTGCGACTTTAGTCACTACAGGAATCAGGATTGATCTCGCTATAAAATAAATCAAGTTTTATGTGTTCAGTTTACTTGCATGAATACTATAAACTCCCTCTGGTGAACAGTAATATTACTAGGGAAGTAAACATCTATACTTATAACAGTAAAAAAATTGTTTGTCTGTCTGTTTGGTCTTTGGACCAATCTCAACAAAATTTGTTAGGTTGTTATGTTGGACCATATGGTATGTTATAAGACAGTTATTACCCACAGCAAAAATGGTTTGTTTAGTTATTAACTCTATAGTCTTGGGCCAATTTTTATTCCTAAAATTTTTCGTTTTTTTCTTGAAATTTTTGTTTTTGGAAAATTTTGAGTTCTTCCATTAAAAATGTCAAATTAAACATTCACATTTTTACCAGGATTGTAAGGCTCTGACTTTGTGCTTTGATGACAGGGCAACATCTGAAAACGGCTTGCTTTTCAAATGGTCAATTCTATGTTTAGTGTTCAAGAGTAGAACTATCAAGGTAACTTTTTATTTTGGTCCAGGAAGGAGGATGAACTTCTAACGTGGTCTATCAAGAAGCATTCAGAGTATCAACAGACACTGAGGCTATAGAGATGGATTAGTAAAGTAAATTGTGTGTGAAATAAATTATGCGTATAAATACACAATCTTGATTTATTAGTTGAGCCCTACATTCAATCCTTTTTCCATTGGACGAGTACCTCAGCTCATAAACTATAAAATGACAGGTAAAATACAAATCATCAATGTATAAAGGCTCCCAGTTTATGTCATAGTTAAAGGCCAAGTTGTTTACAGCTAATAAGTACATATTCTTGAAGTCAATTACACAGTAATATGAGTTATCTCTACATTTCATACATTATTTTCTTATCAAAGTTAAATTTGTAGTATTTTTTTTTCACACCCACTGGCTCTTTAAGTATACACCTTAAGTTTATAATAAAGGTAGAAAAAAAGATCTTGTATTACTCAATTTGCTAGAGGAAGTCTTATCAAACTAATGATGCAATTGTAAAATGTTTCAAAGACAATTATTTCTGTCAAATGTTTTTTGTCTGCTTGCTTGCTTACTTAACAATTGATTGTTGATATTTGCAATATAGTATATTTGTACTGAAAGCTCATCATTGCTAAAGCTGGATAGATTCCAAACTGTCCAATTGAAATCAAGAAGTGACTGAAGATAATACATGCAGAACACCCCATATAATAATGTAAGTTCTTTACTTCGAAGATAATAATGTATAGGAAGCACATGTATGTAAACATATCCATTCATGACTTTGTTACTGTTAAGCACCTTTGGCTGGATAGTTTACAGTGACGAGTTTAACATAAAAACAGTATTAAACTAGTATGAACATTAAGTCTGTTACCCAATTGTTAATTTTACCAGTGTTTCCTGACATACATGGTTAAAAAAGAAAAAATGTCAAAGGCTTTATCAACTTTCTTTATTAAGGTTGGGAAAAAAGATATAACGTTCTTTTTTACCTCAGGTTGATTAAAATATTCAACCTCTTGGTAAGTCTGCATGAAATAACTTTTGGCTGTTCATAATGTAATATAAACTTTGTATTATTATAAGTTTACTGGTACAAAGATGCTCATCTGGGATTTTCCTTCATTAGTTCTTTGTCAGGGATAACGTTTCTTATGTCTTCATTAATTCACAAGTCCTAAAAACACTTGTTAACTAAACAATATAATACCCAAACACAATCATTTAACATCATTAAAAACAGTTATATTATCAGAAAAATGAAAACTTATATAACAAACTGTGATCCTTTCTGATTATTTCACTTCTATAAAATGTGTCAAAAGATTTTGTGCTATGTGAAATTCTGTTTTTGTTGCATTTTGTGCATTAGGAATGTAACATGCAATAATTATAAGGAAGGTATTCCTCTGCTAATGCTCAAGACATTGTACAGCAAAAAAGTTTTTAATATTCTAAAACCTTCAACCTCATTATTCAAACAATTAGGATAAGTTATTGAAATAAGTTTAGTGTCTGACACAAGCAAAAAAAATCAGTCATCCTTATTCTCTTTATATTGAATCTATAATTACTGTAGAATCAACACAATAACTTCTGAAAGTTGGAATTAATTTTATAATTGTCTCTCATAAAAAAACTCATATTAATAAAATCATAATCTCTGAGGAATTAGATACTTCTGTGCAGATGTACAAATTATTTAATTCATCTATAATCTTGCAACATTAAAAGTTTCAACCTTCAGGAAATGCAGAATGTTTCATTTTGTGCAGAAAATTGCAAGTACATTGTTGTTAACAGCACAATATTAAAAAAACATCTTTTACCCATCGTTTGCAAGCTCACAAATTTTACTTTTTAAAAAGACAAAAATGAAATTAAAATCTATTGATGTCTAAAATAATTCAAGATACAATTTCAAAATATTTACAAAAACTTAAAAGAGTTTTATTGCTCCTAACAGAGACGAAAGTTAATAAAGCAAATGTCAGTTTACCATTAACTCTCATAATACAATCTGCTATGTGTAGAAAACTTGATAAATGAAACATAACTCAAACTAATGTCTTTTAATTTACAAATTTTTAATGGAGAGAACAAAAACTTGTTTGTTTTTAATACTGAGAACCATTCCTGGCTTTAAACATCTCACTGGCTGGTGGTGCTGTCTTAAATACATAACAAAGAAAAAGCATTCGAGGCTTAATCTACCTTTGTAAATCGCGAATGTTTTCAGTAACATAGCTCTATAATAACAGTGAACACAAAACAATTCAACCTTATAATTCTACAAAGTCACATTATATTAAATTAATAAGCAGAATTACTTCATAAACTGAAATATCCATGCATAAAAACACAAAAATTTCATGTTTATAACTCATGATTTACGAAAACCAGCAACTCAGGATATAATTGCCTACTTCTATCTAGCGTTATTATTATATACACACACATATTTGAAAGTCAGGTAAAAAGCTGTAGCATATTATATGCACACACACATATTTAAAAGTCAGGTAAAAAGCTGTAGCATATTTTTCTGGAACTAGACACTGTAACAAACAAACAAAAGTATTTTAATAAGAGTGGTTATTTGATTAACACCAAGTTAGATTTTTGAAATGTCCGTAAAAGTAATCCAACATGTATATAGGAATTTCAAGAATAGCTAGCATTGATGCTACTAATTTATTCTTGTGAATTATTCAGCCAGACTGTTTAAAATACTAAAAAGTAAATTGAAACCCAATCAAGATAGCTGTTTTGAAAATCCAGGAGTGAAAAATAAGTATTTTTAGTAAAGGAACTATACACATGATTAATACTAAAAAACTCGCATAGATATACATCATTATAATACAAAGTACACACACACTAGCAGATTGAAGTCCCTGAAAACTCTGCAGAACTTAACCACAAAGTTGCTTTTATTCTTAATGAGTACTTTTAATAACACTATCACAAAAAATGTAACTGCAATCAGTAACTGAAGTTTCCTTAACAACTGTGAGTTAAGCAGTGTTTGAAACATTAAATTATATTTAAATCGTAGATAAAAAACTTGGTTTGTTTTAGATAGTTGCACAAAGCTACAAGAGAGCTATCTCCACTAGCCATCCCTAATTTTGAACTGATCGACTAGAGGGAAGGCAGCTAGTCGTCAGCATCTACTGCCAACTCTTGGGATATTATGATCAAATAGCAGGATTTGACCATCGTTCATATAATGTGCCCATTGCCCAAAACTGTGGCAACAGGATGCAAGGACCCTTGAGTCCACAGTCTTTCTCATTGACCACTAGGCTATGCCTGACCCTGAAGAGTAAAAGAACAAATTATGTATCCATTTAAACAGTTTTCCACACTAACAAAATTTCATAAAAAACAAATCTTTATCAATGTTGAATAAAACTTTCAGAAGCTTTTCTTTCAATGGTCTTTATAACAAAAGTTTATATCTAAACTTTAGTTACTATTTCTTAGATTCAGTAGAACTTTTTATCAGTCAGTATCCAGAATAAATTACTACTTAATTTAATATTAACACTAACTTGAAAAAACTCAATATCTAAGTGATCATCACTATATATACATCTGTAATGTTAGTAAAAAACAAATAATCAGAGTAGAAATATCCTTACTATTTGGTCATACTTTCTACATAATAAATGGTAGCTATGACAAGAAGTTCATTTCTTGTAGAGGTCTTAAGAAACATTTCTTCACTAATAAGCATTTTTATCACTACTGTCATTAAGCTAGTCTTGCCATTTTGTGGGGTCAATGTTTGTAATTCCTCCAACTTGTATCAGCATCTGTTTGAACAAGCTTCATGCACAAATACATTTCTAAAGGAAAGTGTTATTTGTCCAAACTACAGATCATGAAAATGTAAACAAATAGTTTGTTTATGACAAAAGTCTCGAAAAAAATATAAAACTTTGACATTTGAACAACTATGGAACACTTTATTAGTTACTTTATACTAAATTAGCATACAATAAACTTGATATAGCTTTAATTTGATAACAAGGTTAATTATCTCTTCCTTCAGTTTCATTAATATTACTGGTTAAAATATTTATTATATATATATAGTTTATACTTATGAAGATGGTTTTGAATTGTTAGCTTAGCTTGTGGACTTAGAATTAAGCCATCTTAACCTCATGATTAAGGAAAGTGTGTTTCAGTAAGTTACTCAACATAAGAACTTGGTAAAGTTATTTCACATTCATTCTTCAGGTTTTTAACTTCAGTATTGTGAAAAGTGTACTCTTCATTTTCAAAACCCCTTAAATGCAAATAATACATATTCATGTGTTTTTAAATCTCTATTTAAAATATTAACTGTGTTTTTATGCAAGAGTATTTGTCCATTTTCAACTATTTACTCAACTGGCTGGGTAATTTTATCTTCTACTTGCCTAAGATTCAGGATGGCTTAATTAGAAATAATACCATTACTGCATAGTTTTCATGAAAAACCTTAGTTATTATTCAAACCTTTTAGTGACCTTCAAGTAAGTTAAGAAATAGAAAACTCTTGAAATAGCATTATCATATTGTCACAACTGTCTCTGTCACTAAATCAACATAAAAATAAAACAGGGATTTAATCTTAGTTTTGTGCTTAGTTACTGATAAATATATATGGACTTAATGTTAAGTATTATTTTAGACAATTAATGTAGTGTAGGCTCATTGTAACACTAAATTGTCATCAATTCATATCAGGAATACAAGACTTGTACATTCAACAACAGATCAGTAGAGGAGTAGTACATAAAATAATTTATATAATAATTCTTAACTTAAAAGTCAACTGAAAAATTAGTATGACAAAAGACACTTACATTAATGAAACCAAAGCTTTCTGTTTAGCATTCCTAGTCAGTAGACTTCCTTTAAAACCAGCTGTGAGTTAGAGATATTTTTAATAGTTTTTAGAGGAATGTAAACAGAAGTTATCGGCTTGAATTTTTCTGTTTGACATGAGCCGAAAAATAACTCTGATCTGTGATTTAATGTCAACATTTAAAATAGAGAAAACAAAAGTAAAAACTACATTTGAATATTTGTTGACCATGATCCATGAGTAAACAATTCTAAGTTTTGAAGATAGTCTGATGGTTGTGGAGGTCTATCATTATACATATTATATATGCCTGATATAAATAAATAACAGTTCATCAAATAAAACTAAAATATTTTAAATTATAATAAATAATTAAAAACAATGTTTTGTATTTACACAAGTTACTACTGAGGATCATGTCGAAACATGTACGTGTAGAGTGATATTTCTATTTTAAAGTGGCTTCAATAAAGTTTTTATTGTGTAAATACAAAATGTTGTTTTTAATTATTTATTATAACTTACAATTTTAAACACAAGTGCCGGTAGTGCATATGTAAAGATTTACCTAGCTGTGTTCATCATGAACTGCTCTGTAAAATGCTAATAAAACGAAACGTTTTACTAAATGAATGTTAAATAAAGCTGTGTTTGTTTATTCTTAGAAGTACTTATACAGTAAATATTTCTCACATCTGTGTAACCTTTCTTTAAAGTTTCAGACATACATAATACTGGAAAGTTTTGTGTATGCATTTATTCAAGTAAAGCAACACCACTGAACTCACAACACTCTCAGGTACCTGAGAGACTAACAGTGTTCCAAACCTTTTTCATATGATACTGTTAAAATGAAAACAAAAACAATATGAACTGGTACTATTAGGCTGTGGCTTCAGAATAGCTGTACTAAGTAGTTGAATTCAATTTTTTTTCTTTTACAACCTGAATCAGTTCAAACCTTTATTGTTTAATTGTCACTAAATTTAGTTTTTCTATTTTAACAATTTTTCAAACATAACATATTTTCTTAAAAGCTAAATAGAGTATTTTTTCTAAATACTTCTAAATAACTTTTTCTTTTGTAGTACTAACAAAAAGTAAATACAACAAAAACTGGACTTTGAATTCTAAAATCACCACTAAACAACCATGTTCACATCACTCACAAGAAAATGATTCTTACCAAGCATTTAGATTCAGACTGTTAAAGGCTATACAATTTATTGAGATTTAACTGTCACTTGACTAAAACAAAAACATATTTATACACTCTGAAAAGAAACAACCGATTTTGTCTGTTACAAAAAGTCCATGTTGATTTTTTTAAACATGACTGCTTTATGAACACATAAGCAGGTATTGAAGTAAAGTTTGATAAAAAAAAAATGCATCTCTAAAAAGTTGTTTGAAAACAAAGTACACAAAGTATCAATGCTATAAACTATTCAATTTAAAAAACAAAACAGTTATTGTCTATGTATTTAGTAGACAATAACTGTATAATTACATATCTTTTTCTAAACTGCATTATTGTATTGGTTCTCAGGCAAGTTCATATGGATTTTTATTCATCAACCTGGCTTTAGTTCTCAAGACCCTACCTGGTCACTACAAAACTGTTTAAATTACCAACTTACTGACTAGGTGGTATTCTATTAGTTACATCGAAATATGATTGTATTTTTAAGACACTAGATCTGAAATTCCATTCTTTGATTTACCTAAAATGGTGGTTTGATGTGTATATAAAAAAATACATCAATCAAAATTTAAACCTTTGGCTGGTATATTACATTTCCTAGACACAGATCAATTTAAAAATGTATGACTAATAGATTATCTTGGAATCAATGCAACACTTTTGAAAATATCCATAAATTATCGCAGATTAAAGATGGAGTGAAAATATTTAACCCTGTTATACATCAGATGCAATGCCTTCTAGATATCACATAGTTGAAAATATCTTAGTAGATTGGACAGTATTTTTAAGTTGTTTACTTAGTTTATCTCAAAAAAGAAAACTCACTTTCAGAAACTATAACCAAAAATATTACTTTGAACAGTTCCAACTCACTACTAAGAGATGCTGATTTTTCTAAATTTTGCAGAAACATTACAAATACTCTTCCGTTGCATGCCAGTATTTGGAGTTACCTTTCTTCGTCTATCACACAAAATGGAACACATTCGATGTATTTTCTTTATTCTACCCAAGCTGACAGTATTAGAGTCGGTGTTCCGTTAAAAAGGTTTTTCTCAGGTACAATTTTTCTTTAACTTTATTTTAGCTGTGTTGAATTGGATGAGCATGGACTACAGCACACTAGGTAAAAGTACCAGGGATTACCACAACTTAAGTGTTTGGATATACTTGATTTTGGTGTACAGAATGTCATTCAGTTCTCTCACAGACACTTGATAACTTTTGTTGATTTTTTCTCTAATGTCTTTCACTATTTCTTGACCTTCCTAACAAACAAATACAGAATATAATGAGATCACTAATAGAAATATTATTTTCTCAAAGATGATACCATTACTTTTATCAATTTTCATTTGAAATAAATACGATGTCACTGGAAGCAAACCTGCATATTTCGAGTTAACTGTTGAGGTTCTACCTTACTGTCCTCATGACTAACACAATTACAGTTAATAATCAAATAAAATAATAACCATGACAATACTTCATTAACACAATGTATACGTAACATATATTACTTTCTCTGGCTTGTGAAAAAAAAGGAAGTGACTGTTTTAATACTTTCATGATTTTCACATGCCAATTAGTGCCACAACCTTAACATGTGTATGTAACATGTATTATCAGTAAATATATTATACTGTGCTCATTTCAATAATGGTCTTCTAAACGTAATAAGTCATGTCAGAAGCAATTTAAATTCCCTTATATGGAAGAAAAATACTACATCAAATGCTTTGTTTAATTATAATGAAAGCTATTACGAACCCAATTGACCAAACAATTTTTAAGTCCTTCTCAGATGACAGTTATATTCATTAAGAAACCAGATGGTCTCAGTCATAAAAAAGCACTAACAGTCATTGTATTGGAGTGAAAAAAATACGTTGTTGCTATATTGCCCAGACGTCTATGATCAATCCCACAGAAAATTTCAAAACTGAAAATTATTTCAAATTTTTAGCCTAGTTATAAGAAATAAGTTTTGGTTACTTGCTTCAGTAATAATGGTGGCACAAAATTAAAAATCAAATTTATGTTATTATAAATCAAGGTTTTGGTCACGTGTATATTGGATATCATAACGTCCTTACTTCTTGGTCATTAAGAGCAGTTGCCTCTAGATGAGCACCAACAAGAGTAACATCTAGTTGTTGAAGCATCTGTTGAAGGCTCAAAGTTGCTTGCTCCATCCCTGCAACAAGTTCATTGAAGCTCTGGAAAGTGTCAACCTGTACAAAGATAAAAGTTTGGAGGCTTAAAAAACTATTACAAAATCTTGATATAAATCAAACATCAGCTGAAAGATTCGTAAAATGACATCTTAACCTAAAGTATTATCTCCATTTATCTAACAATTAATAGAGTGACATCTAAGTCCAATACTTACTTATATTTACATTTATCCAAGGATTAATATAAAGTTTCAACAGTGAAATTTAAATTAATTACAACATTATCACTTACCCCAATAGATAAACACGAATCTTTCTTCTTCTTCCCTTTCTTAGTATGGAGAAGTTTGGCTGGCTTTAGAAGTGTGTGTCCAATATTCACAAGAACCATACTGAGGCTCAAAGTCTGCATAAAAACAGATTAACATAAAAATTAAACTGTACCTTTTCATAGTCAACTCTTGTATGTCAATGTCCATGTAATGAGTACAATGTCTTCTTCAGACATCAACATGTATCTTTTCATAGTCAACACCTGTAGGTCCATATAATGAATACAATGTTTTCATTAGACATCAACATGTATCTTTTCATAGTCAACACCTGTAGGTCCATATAATGAATACAATGTTTTCATTAGACATATAATGAATACAATGTTTTCATTAGACATCAACATGTATCTTTTCATAGTCAACACCTGTAGGTTAATGTCCATATAATGAATACAATGTTTTCATCAGATATCAACATGTATTATTTCATAGTCAATTCTTGTAGGTCTACATATTTAATGTAATGTTTTCATCAGATACAAAACAGAATTCAAAAGGTTTTTTTTAATGAGGAGTATGTAACACAACTGACTTTGATAAACCTATTTAATATTTGAAGTTACAAGTTCCTTGCATATATCACTGAAAAATTCACAATATCTAAATTTTAAAAGCTACTATTTACATGTAGAAAACTGGAAAAGCATTAAAAATTAACAGGCTTAAAATTTGTGATAAAAATCATGTAAACAGCATTTATTTTCATATTCCTCTTAACTTATCCATTTAAGATTCAAAATCAGATGTGTATAAAAATATTATTTCAGATCTATCTTTTGCCTACAATTCACTGATTTCAAATCTGAAGTGGGAAAGTTAAAAATGTAGAATAAAAACTACAGAGTATGTGATTTTCATCAAATTTTGGGCCTATTAATATCTAATCTTATTAATTAGTTTTCTGAAAAGAAAATAATTAACAAGTCTGACTGCTTTCCAAATTTTACTGTCTTTTTTCCATAATTCATTGATCAGTCTAAAAGAACAAACTAGGTATTATAACACATCTGCATGTTTTAGGTGACCAGTCCCATTGTAAACTTTATGTTATAAGCCTGATTACAACACAGCAAGAAGAATTAAACATATTTTAAGATATTTTCCCTCAAATTAGGAAACTTCCACATATATTAGAAAAGTGTCACATACAAGTACATTATCGACAATTTTCAAACGAGTTGTCAATTTTTCGTTAACATATAGTGTAAACCTCTGTAAATAAAACATTTTAGTCTAGTACATAATTGATAATTTTACATTAGAAATTAATACACAGAGTCCAACATTGTAATAAACATAAAACTTGCAAATAAATTCTGTAAGAAAGTCCTACCTCAACAGCATTTACTAATTCTTCTAGTGTTTTTCGCATAGATTCAACTTTCTTTTCAGATATTCTACTCAATGTTTCTAACTGTATCCTCAAAAAAATACCTGCACAAAAACACAAGTATAGGTACAATAAACAGTAGACATAGAAAAGTATGCTCTTATTAACCCTATCTACCCAGGCATCATTTACTGCGCATGCCACAAGGTTTTAGTGGCTTACATTCAAAGTTTTATTAAACTACTTTTTGTTTATGTTATACATTTAGTATAGCATAATATTGTAGCTAATAATCCATATTTTAATAGTATATAAGTTTTAAGTTCTTAATTTTATAATGCAATATTTAAAAAATCCTGAAATTCCCCTAGTGTGAAAAAGGTGACACATTTTCTGAAGGCATCCCATCTTCTCTATTTTATCCACTATCCCTCCAATAAGTACGAAATTTAACGTAAATTATTCACTGTAAAATTGTCATTGCTCAGACAAACCATAATTTTTATAGCTTTCAATTCTGTTTGGTTACAGAACCATCAAATAGAAAATAAGACCCCTCCTGCCACACCCACTCTTCAGGATTTGTTAATAGTTCTCTCTTACGTTTAATTATATATTATCTATAACCAATAGAAAGCCAAGGTTTTCATCTATTAAATGATGTATTATATTACATTGTGTTCTGAACAGAGAACTGTCAATTTCTCTTTTAGTACAAGCTTCGTTCCCAAGAGAAAGATAATGACTAGCTAGAATGAGTTTGTAACGGCTCTTGTTGCATAGTTAGAAAGTCAGGAAAATTGTGATAATTGGAGGAAATTCTCTGCTTTTTGCATTTTATTATTCTATGTTCTTTGGTGCATTATTTAATTAATAATTTTGTGCATTACTACCATTAATATAAAAAAGGAAGATTAAGTGTCATCAACAGTGGACAGCAAAAACAAAATAGACACATGTTTATCCTTTTTTATAATTATAAAAGTAACTAAAATGTAAAAATAGGATCTCTTTAGGTTAGTTAAGGTAAATTAAATAATAACAATAATATAATAAAAATATTTTACAAGGCACATACACAATCTTATAATGATGCAAATGGTAGTTAGACATGGTTAAAAGGGCAATAAAACAATATAATTTAATTATAAATACATATATATTGTTATGAGTTTAAAGCTACTTAGGATAAGCAAATGTAGTTTCTTGTTACAATTTGAAGTAATTCTAGAAAGAAAAAAAAGGGCAATTTTGATTTATTTGTTTTTTTTTGTATAGAATTAGGGTAGAGATAATAACAGATAAAATATAAATTTTTACTGAAAACAAACATCTGAAATGTATTTAGGAGGTTTTAGAGATTACACAAATGAAATTTGAGATTTATGAAATGAAGTATTTATAATTTTAACATGAAAACCACTTTGCACATGGACTATTCAAAACAAATACTTGAAATATTCACAGACAAATTTTTATTTTAGTTTATTAAAAATACTTCACTAAAAATATGATTTTTTTTGTATGTGAAAGACATAATGTTTACTGAAAGTCTGCCAAAGTTCGTGAAGATATACACACTATATTGAAAGATAGAAGTATTAAATCTATAAAGACTTTAAACGAGAACAGAGAGGTCACATGGTTGGTCAAATTGACCAAGACCATGTTGAGAGAGTTAAGAGATATTAGTGAAGTAATTACTTGCAGTATTGTTCATTTAGTAGCATCCTATTACACATGTTAACATATAAATTGTTTACAGTTTTGTTCAGGTAGTAAGATCCAGTTAAGAGATATTGGTGAAGTATCAAATCTATAAAGACTTTGAAGGAGTCCAAAGAGATCACATGGTCGGGTCAAATTGACCGAGCCTGTACTGAGAGAGTTAATTTGTTCTTACTATTGTAAGCACCTCAAACCTTAGAAACACTATCTATAGAATTTTAAACCATTTGTAAGCTTTAACAAAACTTTTCATGTATTTTTAAACTCTTTGTAAGCATGTAATATTTACTAACACCTCAACTGAGCCCGAGAGAATTAATGATAAAATTTTGGTTTCTACATCATAGAGATAACAATAAAGTACAGAATTATATTTAGTGACCCATCGTGCAATAAAATTAATGTATAATACTGTATGGTTAGTAACCCATCATGCAATAAATAATAATGTATAATACTGTATGTTTAGTGACCCAGCATGCAATAAATGATAATGTAAAATACTGTATGTTTAGTAACCCATCATGCAATAACCCGTAATATATAAAACTGTTTAGTGACCCATCATGCAATAACTAATATTGTGTAAGATTGTATTTAGATTTCTTCTACATGAAGGTAATGGTGATTTTTTTCAAGTTAGGGTTTATACTTGTGAGTAAGACAGTAGATACACTTACCCTGAAGAGATTCCATTACTGCATTCTTTAGCTGTTCTTCTAGTTTTGCCTGGCCTAAAAATAAGTAAGACATATTTTGAATAAAACATTAAAATATTGGCATGTGTAAAACACCAAGTTCTGTAACTTTTAGCACATCAAATCTTTAAAAAATCTGAGCAAATGTAAAGCAACATACCTTGTACCTCACCTTGTTAGTTTAGTGCACCAAACCTTCATAAAATCTTTGTATACTATGCAAAAAATTTTACAGAATTGAGGGAAATAAAACAATTGTACGTTTCACAACTACGTCATTTACTCACGACCATGGTTTCACCAGTAAAGACATCATCAGGTACTGGTGAAACCATGGTCGTGAATAAATGATGTAGTTGTGAAATGAACAATTGTCTTGTTTTTCCTCAATTCTGTAATTATAGAGGTTCACCAAGTACCAAAGGCTTCGAGCATCAATTATATAAAACATTTTATCTTGCTGTTTATTTTCTCACTTCAGTACCCCACACCTTCATAAAATCTAGGCATATGTGAAACACTGTGTACTGTTCTTCATTCTGGAAAGTTTACCTACCAAACACTTTTTCTGTACTAAGTAATGTTTTTAATTTTGAAAAAAAATTCTGGGTACTTTAACTCTATGTCCAATACTTTTTACATGTGACAATTATTTAAAAATGAAACTGATATACCTCAGACACAAATAAATGTCTATCATATGAAAACAACTACAGAGAGTGTTCTTCAGCCAAGTGTAAAACAGATCATTGCTATATGATGCTATACTTATTTTGTACTTTTTGAGTTCTATAATTTAATTATAAACTATTATTTTGGCTCAATGTTTTTAGTTTGTTAAAATCTGGAACATAATCCTATAATATTGAATTATGAGTCAAGAAAAAGAATTTTATAAAACCTAAATCTCACTTTTTACTGACAACCAAAACCTGCCCAATCTAACATGATCCAAGTACCTTGTCATGTCAGTCTGTTATGTTAGTTGCAAAGATCATACATACAACAAAACAATTAACAGTCCAGAAAAGAGGAACCAAGTTAGTACTGTAATAAGTACAAGCAGGTAACTGTATAAAAAAAAAACTTGCCAGTGGTACTCCCTATTACAATCTGGTGAAACTTATAAGAGCTGATAATGCCTCTTTAGATCATGGTTTAGGTTTTATCAAGTTGTTCTTGTTAGAATTGGACTATAATTCTTTACAAAAATATAAAACCTATCTTGCTATAATCTGATGAAAGTAGAAAGTACCTGCTCACATTAAAGCAGTGTTTGTACAATGGACTTTTCTCTCACAAGACAGACTTAAATCAGCTTATCAATGTTGAAAAACAGTCGACAAACAGGTCAGTCAGAATAAAAGCATGAGAAGTACAATCATTGTTTCTTGAAGGTGATAGCATTCCTTTTGAAAGCCCCAGATATAAAGTAGAATGGTGCATTACCAAAATGCCTGCATACTTCTAGTAAGTACATACCTCAGGAACATAAGAACAAACAGTGTAAAGCAGCTTCTGGTATACTTACTTGATTGAGATCCTTCAACAAGCTGCTGTAGATACAAAATATATTCTATAAGTGACACCAAAACTTGGAGATAATAGCCTTGAAGGTAATACTTTAACCTTGTGGGAGCTGGTGCTTGAACTGGAACCTATGAATTAATTTCCACTTTTAGCAGAGATTCTTTTGTGACATTTTATCAAGGAATAATTAAAATATTACAACAATTACAGCCTATGGATGAGAAACTTCATGAAATAGATGTGCAGTCGATTCCAAAACTGGTTAACTCTTTGACTACATGGCTGGGTGCATTGCAACCAGTATGTAACCACCAAAAGAACCATGAGAGTAACCATACTATAACTTTTGGTAGATTATCAGTAAATGTTACAAGGCTTTTGTACACAAAATATGTTTTTTAATTAAATACTAAAATTGTTTAATTAAAGACTTGGTCGTAAATGTTTTCTTTCCAAATGTTTACTATCCAACTTGTTTAAAAGAAAATTTTATAAATGTCTTGTTGTTTGAAAGATACTATAAGAGAAATATTTTGAGTAAATCAGAAAACAGTGTATACATCTAGAGGGTTTGAAAAATTAAAGTTTTGTTAACTCTGCTAAGGTTTTTTCACACATTTTCATAAAGTGTAGAAACACGAATGTCAAGCTAACAAAAAATGTTGAAATTTGATTGGAAAAAACAAATATAAGTTTAGAAGCAAGTAAATAAAAAAAAAAAATCCAAAAAATACTAGAACTCATGCTTACAGTTCAGATATGTAGAGACAAAACAGAAATGAAAGTCTGAATATTTTTTCAATTTCTATTCACAAACTAAACAAGCATTACTTAATGTTAAAATATGAATTATACAAAATTTTTAAGAAATGGTTAAAATAATAGTTAGAATTAGATTTTTAAATTCAAATTGTATGTACTATTAAGTTTTAACATTTTATTAAGAAGTTTATTGAGGATTATATTTTAATTCACACACAGGATCTCCTATTTTGTTCTGTTCTTATTTTTATGTTCTACAGATAGATAATGGAATAATTACTGTCTAATTTTATCACTATTTCTTATTTGAAAATACATGGTTAAAATCGCTGTAAAGAAAACTACAAATACGTGATCAGTGTTTCTAAAATGCAAGAGGCCTTTCACCACAACAGGACCACAGACTTCCTTATTAATTTGTATCATACTGTAAACTGAATCTATTACTTAAGTATCTTACTGCATATTTTTTTACCTGTCTATATGTAAGAATTTTTGAATCAATATTTCCTAAATATTCTTTGAGTGAAGTCAGTAGTTCTTCCAAAACCTCTTGAACTCCCCTCTTTTCCCCATTACTTATTTCTGAATGATTACTTTCTGCCTGAGTCTTGGTAAGGTCAAAAGCTGCTTTGATGGCACGAACAATTAGGTGTCTCAGTTTTATCCATTTAACCTGAAAGGAATAATCAAATCTAGTGAGTTGACAAGACATAAACCCAAGTCATCTTTATGGACCAGTGGTTATAACTTCAAAAGAGAGAGAGAAAAAAAGAATAACTTACATAAAAACTAATTTGTAATGTTAACCAGCTTCTTAATTCTCCTGTTATCAAACAAATGTGTATGACTACATACTTTATGTATGCCTTTATTCAATATTTTATGTAATAGACTTGAAGGGTATAAAAACCTACATAATGATAAGTTCCTTAGACAAAAATTTACACATTTTACTAAAAAATGGAACCTAATGAAGAACTTGTGGGTAGATAACATATCCCTAATATATAATAAAAACATTCAACTAGAAAGTTACTTACTTATTGATGTACCAGTAAAATTAATTCAACATACTTCTGGAATGAAACTACAGACATTATCACAAGGAAAACCCGGATAGTAAGTACTTGTAGACATTATCACAAGGAAGAATCTATATAGTAAGTACTTGTAAAGTAAAACTGTAGACATTATCACAAGAAACAACCCGGATAGTAAATACTTGTAGAATGAAACTACAGACATTATCACAAGGAACAATCTGGATAGTAAATACTTGTAGACATTATCACAAGGAACAACCCGGATAGTAAATACTAGTAGAGTAAACTGTAGACATTATCACAAGGAACAATCTATATAGTAAATACTAGTAGAGTAAACTGTAGACATTATCACAAGGAAAAACCCGGATAGTAAATACTTGTAGAATGAAACTGTAGACATTATCACAAGGAACAATCTGGATAGTAAATACTTGTAGACATTATCACAAGGAACAATCTGGATAGTAAATACTTGTAGAATGAACCTGTAGACATTATCACAAGGAACAATCTGGATAGTAAATACTTGTAGAGTAAACTGTAGACATTATCACAAGGAACAATCTGGATAGTAAATACTTGTAGACATTATCACAAGGAACAATCTGGATAGTAAATACTTGTAGAAATTATCACAAGGAACAATCTGGATAGTATATATTTTTAGAATGAAACTACAAAAAGCTATAAATATTTTACAATAAAATCCCAAAGTTTCCTATCATACCACAATGCTTCTTAATCCAAATACCGTAACTCACCAGAATTAATATGTAACAGAAATACTGATAGGAAGACCTTGGTGGCTTATTACAGTGAACCATATTTTCTACAATTGGTAACTGATGTAAATTTCTAATTTTTATAAGTATCTTTGTAATTCTTAGCTATGATTGAATTGTAACAGAAAACACTGCATTAAAAATGCATGATCTTATAATAATACTTGAGATTTAATATAACTGAAAACAAACCTGCTCTTGAAGAGAAACTGATTTTAAGTCTTCCATAGCTTTACTGAAAAAAAAAAAGACAAAAAATCTCAGTCTAGAAAGAATGCTATTCGAAAGGAAGTGAAATTCATTTATATTACGTCTAAAAAAAACTCTGATTTTGAAACAGTTTTAAAATGCACACTATACAGCATGCTAATGGATTAAATACAACTCGGTTGGTTTCTATTACTAGATGTTTTAACAGAAAAATTTCAAAGTTATGGATTTTTTATTTCTAAAGATATTTTCATTCAGTAAGTTTTTATGTAAAGGAAATATGACATAAAAGAAAGGAATGAAAATAAATTTGCTCCTTACACGTGTTTATTGTTCCACATTCTGAAGAGTGCTAGGTCTCTGTTGTCACACAGTTTGTCCCACTCTATTTTATCTACAAAATTAAAAAACACAGTTTAAGCTCATACTAATGATTTAATCAACAATATTGCTTTTCTATTTTACAGAAATTGCATTACCCTTTTTCCTAATCTGGAAAACTATCACTACCATAATGGTTCTGAAAGATACTGCTTTTTAAATCAAGTTATTTTGTTTACTTAAACAATTACAAAGAAACTACTAGATTTTTGTGACTTACCTTTTTCAGGATCAACTTCCATAAGTCCTATGACAAACCTTGTTGTTTGATGGCTGTTAAAAGACAAATATGTAACTTAAGTATTATTTAATATATACAAAAAAATCACCAAATAAGTTTAAAAAATCTTACAGAATTTTATATCTATATACAAATGCTTTCACATTTCTACTGAAATATCGAAAGATTCAACAAAAAAAACACTCTACAAGACCATACAGAGTACACTAATCTTTCTGAAACATTTCTAAGTTACAGTTCCTGAAGCTGAAGTGTTGACAGTTAGGGAAAAACTAAATCTAGAGGTTGATGTTGATATAAGTGAGTAGCCTAATGTACTGGTCCATTCATGACCCATGCTGATATTTTTAATATTATATACTAACATTTATTATGATACTGTTTAAACATGATTATCTTTTCATACAGAAATTGATCCATAGAATTTCCCTTTCAGAAAAACAACACCTTTTGGATTCCAAAAGAAGATCAAGAATATTCCTCTCTATAGCAACGGATGTGTATTGAACAGAATTGTTCAGCTTTTCCCGGAACTCCACGATCTGCTGAATCTGGAAAGTACAAGGTTATCAACCTGCTGTATTTGAAATATAAAAAGTTATTTCTAAATAATCTCTTGTGCTTCTTTTCCAAAAAAATTACAGGTTATTTTCAATAGATACAAGCATTAATGTGGTCTATGTATAGAATAATAATTTGTACCAAATTATTTCTATTGTGTTAGACCAACATTTTAAATCTTTTATTGACGTTTTTCACACAGCTTCTGAAACACAAGATTTCTATATTATACGGTGTTCTTTGTGAAACTGCACAACAGATGAAAAGAAATTACAATGGTCATCATAGAAAAGATTACAAGTCCAAAATTCCTTCATTCACAATCCATGCCAATATGATTATAAACGGGTGTCACCAAGCTTGTGTATTTCTACAGGTCATGTTTCTTCCCACTAGCCCTTGTGTTTCACAGTAGGCTGTGTTGAAATAAAAAATTAAGTTCCTTTTAAAATTACCTACAAGTTTAAACCATAAACAGATAATTAGTGATACATGTCATAACTAAATTAATCAATCATAAGAATGAATAATAAATCCACTACACAGACTTCAAACTGTCATGGTAATATTAATTTCTAGATTTTCAATAAATCTGTTTTTGATTACCATAGTCTACAGACTTTCTTCAGGTATTTTGATGCAATTCTGAACAAAATTCTACTGCTCTTGTGCTTATAGACCTACAGATGTTTCATTATTTAGAACATTTGTGTTTCCTTCTTCCATCTATAATTGAGTTACTCTAGAACCATTATTTAAGGTAATTGTATTTTCTTGTCCCAAGCTCCAAATGATTTACTTTAAAGCCAGGAGTCTTCATTCGCTGTATTCAAAATAACTGTGTTGATTTTCTGCTTGCAATAATGAAACAGTTTTTGATACATCAAATATATATATATTTCTTTTTCTGCTATAAACTTGAAAACAGTTCATGGAAAAAGTGGAGGCTATCATCACAAATTTTAAATTTATTAGCCACTGGACGATCTTTGTGTTTTATTTATGAAATGTAAGGTTAGACAGTCAGTAATGTAAACATAGAATGACCAGAAATGTGGAAAATTCATCTATCGACTGATCAGTTTTTTAGTTTTCAGGACCAAAACTGTAAACTTTCATTAAAAGATTCTGACAGTAGTGTTTTAATTTGTATTGCTACTTGCTGGGAATCAAAACATCTTACCTTTGCAAAAGATCCAAACTTGTAACAGGAAATCAGAAAATCTACAGTCTGAGAAAAATATTACATCATTACGTTATTGCACAAATATAAATGGAAACATCTCGAAATAAATAACTATGTATGTATATACATACATTTAATCAATATTGGATAAAACAAAATGGAGTGACAGAAGAGAAATTACTCTTGAAATAATAACATTATTAATAACATCTAATAATAATATTTTTTCTGTTTCCCTTAAATTTTGTATCCTTAGATTCTCTCTTTAGAACCAAGTTTTCCATAGTACAAACAAGTTGATGGAAAAAAAAGTTTTATAAAACGAAAAGCTTTACAATATTCCTAAAATATTAAATAATAATTTTTTTTAGTGGGTGCATTTAATGTAATTTTGTTGCTTATTCTCCACTTGTGGATACTCTGAAATAAAGTAATTAACACCAACTTATCAAGTAATTAAAAGATGTTCTCAAGGAGGAGAACACTTGGAGTCACATGTTGTTTTCTACTTCTTGGTTTAAATTATGTTTATGGTTACTTTCTAGTTTAATAATGAGTTTAGAATCATTTTTTTATGTCAAGGCCATGGATTTGACTTCTTTAGCCTTAATTGTTAAACACTTTATTTGTTTCATCTCAATACCATGATGAACTTGTGTGCCCAAAATCAGTGAACTGAACATACAGAGTGGTCCAAACTTTTTTCCTATTTTAAAATCGAATAACTAAATAACTAAAGAAATACAACCATGCAGCTTTTAACATCTTGCAGTCCAACTCAAACAGGTTTTATAGTCATGTTTTTATTTCACTCCAGTAAATAGTGTCTCCCCATAAAATGGCAACCATGCATGAAAAAGTTCCCTCAATACAATGACTTGGTCGGGGTGGGCCAATTTCATGTTCACCAGACATTGGACTTTCTTTCATTGGAGGTATGTTCAGAATATCATATGTTGCACACATATAATAATAGACATCATGGAGCTAAAGACCAGGATAACAGATGTCATCACCACTGTAACTATGGATATGCTGCAGGGAACATAGCCCGAAATCGAATATTGGTTAGATGTACTGAGAGCCACTAATGGTACATACGTAAAAGTCTACTGACATGTCACTAAAAACTGCTTTGATTGGACTACAAGATGTTTGAAACTGCATGACCGTATTTCTTTAACTACTAAACTTTAAAACAGGAAAGATAATATTGGATCATCCTGTATATGTGAATAAACAATTTACATAAAAAAGTCAAATAAAATAAAACACTTACATCTTTAAAGTTGCTAGTAAAAAACCGAAGTGCTGTTGCTAGTACAGTACTGGCAGTTGAAAAGTGTGCACATGCAGCCAAGTGATTTGTAATAAGATACCTAGAAAGATCACAAGAAATATACTGACTCAATGTGTGTGGAGACATTTTTTATGGCATTAAAACAGTTTGATGGAATGTAGAAAAGTTATATAATTTAACAAATATTCTAATATCAAATAGTTTTACGTGCTAGTCCTGAAGAAGACGTAAAGGCGAAACATCAGTTAAAATATTACCTGGAATGTAAAAGTAATTTTTTACTATCAAAATCTTGCTATACATGTTTATTCAAACAGTCATACTCAATAAGGAAAGGACTAAATAGTGTAACATACAAGGACAGTAAACTTACCCTAAAGTTTCTTGCTGTACGTGTTTAATATCTAAACTCTCATAGAGAGCATGACTAGCTCCAACAGCACCTAGATCACAGAGGTAAAACAACAGTTTGGTCAGGAAAATCATAAGTTCCCAATAAATCATTTAAGTTTTATTTCATATACAATTTTAACCTACAAACATTCACATGATTTGATAAAATAAACAATTATTAAAACATTATAAACATTTACTATCAAAATTAAATATTTTGTAAGAGTTACGTTATTAAACTTTAAAAATATCAGTAGAATCATTTAATGACAGTCTAGAAAAAAAACGAAGAATGGAATGGAATTTCACCTATAATATTATACAAGTTGAGCAGCAACAGTTTGATTTGGAAGTTGGAAGGACTGTTTTTCAAAGCTGTTTCTAGCATTACGAGTGCTTGGGTTAGAAACTTTTCATCTTCTAAGAAAAGAAAAAAAATTCTGCATAAACTACACTGGTAGCTTAGTATCATGACAGTTTTAAAAGTGGGTGTTACAAAAGGTTGACTTTTAGTCTAGACAACAGTATGTGCCAAAAGATTTATTATTTCATGCAGATGTAAATATAGTAGATGATAACATTCAAATAAACGTTTGTAAAACAATCAATGAGAATAAGAACACTTGTATAAAGAGATTCCACAAGAATGTAATTGATTTACTGATCATATTTACTACAACTTTCAAAATGTAAGTGAGAAAATTAAGGAAAGGAAGGGAATATTTAAAAGCTTTTAAAAGATATATAAACTCAGATTACCTTTGTCCTTCCACATGTCAATAAGGATGTGTGCTGCTAATAGAGCATAGTTATCACTTGGTTTAAAGTCAGTTGACAGCAGTTCCTTGCCTGAATAGTGTTGGGTTGAAAATACACTTTTCAAAACAAATCTAGAATAACTGATTATTTAGTACAAGGATTGTAGGTTTACAAGAACACTCTTCCTGCACATGCTAAATGAAAAAGGTAACGTTACAAAAAATTTTGACTTTTACTTTCATTAAGTCTAACAATAAAATTCTGTAATGATATAGCACAGCTATCAAAAATAACTAAACTTAATAATCTGATAAGAAAAAAAAATTACTATATGTTTTCAGCAGTATGAAGATAAAAATATGTTAAACTAAGCAATGCACAATATCACTTAGAAGTTAATGTTGTTATACTTAAGCATACAAAACAGTAGCTAAGGTTTTATTCCAGTGTTTTTTTAATAAGAGAACACTTATGTTATTAAATTATGAGCTTCTTTGTAATGCTGATCACGATCTTGAGCTTTCCACAACAGGACTTACCAAACTGAAGCCCATGGGTATATCTTTCATACAAACATACAGCAAGCTTTAATTTGTCTTCTTCCAAATAATTTTCATGATGGCCAAAATAGTGACATAGTTGAACATAGCATAGGTGGCGCTGCATTTCTTTGACCTACAAAACAAGACTAGTTTTTAAACACTAAAGAGAAAAACTGAAACTAAAGAAACATTATATACAAAAGAAAAAAAATCCAGTTGTAGATGCCACAGAGATGGGTTACAGAGCAATTTCTTACAAGTACAGTCTATTATTTTCATCAGTACAAGAAGTTCCCATCCATCAAATCTAGTTTTAAACTTAAGCAATCAACTAAAAAGACATTATAAAGATATATTTCTCACTGACTGTGGGTGTTTCTAGTAGTTTAGTGAGAGGTTTCATTAAACCTTATGTACTGTACAGCAGTACAAGTCTCAATGGTGATGACAATTTACCAGAGAGAAATGTAGCTTGAAACATTACTTGTAAAGATACACCATAGAACTCTAAAAATTTCTAACTTAATTATTATAAAAAAGAGAAGTTACATACATTGTCTGGTAATTTCACTTCCCTTCCATTGGATGATAATGAAAATTTTATCCTCTCCAGAACCTAATGAAATAATCAAGAAGACTGTGGATACAAATTGATTAAGTGGTAACATAATTCTTATCACATTAAAGTTGCAAAAAAGTACACAAAAATTCTTTAATGTAAAAAAACATAACAAAATACTAAAACAAATAATGGTTTAAAGAGATATCATTTATTCTATCAGCAATAATACATGTTAGTTTAAAACATGTTCACTGTTAAGACAAAATATTCCCTTTCATCCACTTCTCTAGGTTAAACTCGTTTTGAGGAATACCATTTCATCAGTCACTTTAACTAATCTGAGTCACACTTGCTTTGGATAATATTCCCAACCGTCATTAATAACTTAGGAACTTCTTTGGGTTTTATGGAATACCACCACAGCTACACTGAACTACCCTGGGTTATACTTATTTTATGGAATACCACCCCTCATCAGCTACACTGAACTACCCTGGGTTATACTTATTTTATGGAATACCACCCCTCATCAGCTACACTGAACTACCCTGGGTTATACTTATTTTATGGAATACCACTCCTCATCAGCTACACTGAACTACCCCAGGTTATATTTGTTTTGTTGAATACCACCCCTCATCAGCTACACTGAACTACCCTGGGTTATACTTATTTTATGGAATACCACCCCTCATCAGCTACACTGAACTACCCTGGGTTATATTTGTTTTGTTGAATACCACTCCTCATCAGCTACACTGAACTACCCTGGGTTATATTTGTTTTGTAGAATACCACCCCTCATCAGCTACACTGAACTACCCTGGGTTATATTTGTTTTGTAGAATACCACCCCTCATCAGCTACACTGAACTACCCCAAGTTATATTTGTTTTGTAGAATACCACCCCCTCATCAGCTACACTGAACTACCCGGGGTTATATTTGTTTTGTAGAATACCACCCCTCATCAGCTACACTGAACTACCCGGGGTTATATTTGTTTTGTAGAATACCACTCCTCATCAGCTATACTTAGCCACTCTGGCTACTAAAGTTAGTTTGTTTTTGAATTTCGCGCAAAGCTACACGAGGGCTATCTGTGCTAGCCATCCCTAATTTAGCAGTGTAAG